CGGCTGGAGTGTGGCTGGGGGAATGGGAAAGGGGGCTTTGTGACTGCGAAGAGGTTGCAATATGACTCCTAAGGTTCTGGACAGAAAAGGGTCTTGAAAACATACTAAGGAGTTTGTTTCAGCCTATTGTAGGCAATAGGAAGCCATTGAAGAAATTCAAGGAGGAAGTCAAGTCTGTCTTGATACTTCCTTCTTCACCCCTGGTCCGTCCTTCCAGCCCTTCCAGTGCGGGGGCTTCTTTCTACATCACAGCTGCTTTCTACACCACACCATTGTCTCCTCAACCTTCATGCAACCTGTTCTCCCTGCTGCACTTCTAGACTCAGGAAGGTGTGATTGTCCTAATTTCTGGTTCCAAGATTGGCTGTAAGATTCCAATAGTTCACATGCTTTCCCTCCTCTGAGCCATATTACCTTATCTTTGTGCGGATCTTTGGTCTTTGAAATCCTGTTCATTTTCTTTTTTGAAAAGCCCATATCAATGGTCCCTTCTCCTAGGCAGTGTCTCCTCTTCTTCCCAAGGATACAGCAGCTCACAGTCATTATTTGAACCCTATTTGACATTTAGAGTCTCTTCTTATTGAACTTCTCTTGATTTATGCTATATTATGGGTATATTTTTGCTCTCAGACTGAGCTGTTTGAGTGTAAGGATGGGGTCTTGATGTCTTATTAATTCTGTATTAGTATCTATTCTGAACTCAGGCTAGTGGAGATGATATAACACATAATAAGACACAAAGCTGCCCAGACTCTGAGGAGCAACAGGAAGAATAATGTGCCCGTATGTATGCTTCTCCAGCCTCCTGGGTGTCCCCCAAAGGCCCTAGTCTCTGGTATTCACACCCTTGTATGGTACGAATACAAGAACACAGTGTCCTCCCACATTGTACCAGATCTGACATATGTGACCAGCAGAATGCAGCAAAAGTGATGGCATGTCACTTCTAAAATTAGGTTGTAAAAGAATGTGACTACTAGCTTGGGTTCTCTCTTTCTTAGATTACTTCCTCTGGGGAAGCCAGATGCCCTGTCACGAGAATATGCAAGCACCTGTGGAGGTGCCTGTCACAAGAAGCACACACTAGCCTGACCGCAACCAGGAACACGAGTTATCCTGTGTAGGGGTGTCCAACCCATAGCCCATGGGCCGCATGCAGCCCAGGATGGCTATGAATGCGTCCCAACACAAAATCGTAAATTTACTTAAAACATAATGAAATTTTTTTTGTGATTATGTGTCTCAATGTACTTAATGTGTGGCCCAAGACAACTCTTCTTCCAGTGTGGCCCAGAACACCAAAAGGTTGGACATCCCTGCTAGGTGAATCCACCAGAAGCAGGTGGCTGCAGCCCTGACCAACAGTTTGACTGTGATGTCAAGGGAGTCTTTGAGTCAGGACCACCCTGGTGGTATTGCTCCTGGTCCTTAATCCTTAGTCACTGGATGGTTATTATTTTAACCTTCCAAATTTAGGGGCTTGTTACATGAACATACATTTAGCAAATGTCATTCCAATAAGTGGAGGTTTTAGGTAGACAGTCGAAAAGAGAGTAAAGTACTCAAGGTTAAAAAACAGGAAATTATGATCAGATTTCTAATTCAAAGATATGTACATTGTAATTTTGCCTTAGCTCAATTTTAAGATAGATCTGTGTCACAGTTCAGAATTAGTATTTAGTCATTTATTGCCTAAATGCATAATCTAATAAGTCCCTGAAAAGAGACTAGAAGAAGATTGGGCTGGTGGAATGAGGGCTGAGCTGGATTTTTCTTTGTAAGAATCGAGTTTAGGCTCCAGCTCTGTCACTTACCATTTGTTATCAAAAGGGAATCTATTTAATCTCTTTTAAATCACAGCTTCCACAACAGTCAAGGGGATATAATAATTCATGCTCTGCATATCTTGAAGATTTAATGAGTCAGTGTGTGTAAAAGAACTTTGTGAACAGCAAGACAGATTCCAAATAGAAGGTGCTTTACACGGTGGGATGCTAACATATTATTGGCTCAACAGACCAGTTTTACTGAGGCAGCTGGAAGATGGCTGTCTGACAGCACAAAGATTCTCCTCTGGGGAGACATTGGCCTGCTGGTAACTTGGGCACCAGGCAAGTATGTGCCAATCAGGAACTTCCCTGGTTCATTCCAGGCTTCTCAGTCTCTGGCCCTTTGTAACAAACTTGATTTTCAGAGAAAGGCACCATGAAGAGTTAAGAGCATACATTTTGGCTCTGGCCAGTGTGGCTCAATTAGTTGGAATATCACCCCATACACTGAAAGGCTGCTGGTTCAATTCCTGGTCAGGACACGTAACTAGGTTGTAGGTTGGATTTCTGGTCTGGGTGGGTGCATGAGGCAACCAATCAATGTTTGGCAACCATCAAACCACATTGATCTCTCTCTCTCTCTCTCTCTCTCTCTCCCCCCCCCTCTCTCAAAACAATGAAAAAATGTCCTCAGGTGAGGACTATTGGAAATAATGCTGCAGTCAACATGGGGGTACTTGAGATAGTGGTTTCATTTCCTTTGGATATGTACCCCCAAATGGAATTGCTGGATCATATAATAGTTCTATTTTACTTATTTATTTACTTTTTTATTTTAGAGAGAGAAGGAAAACAGGGTGGGAGAGAGAGAGAGAAACATGGATTTGTTGTTCTACCTATTTATACATTCACTGGTTGACTCTTGTATGAGCCCTGACCCGGTATTGAACCTGCAACCTTGGTGTGTTGGGATGATGCTATGACAAACTGAGCTACCTGTCCAGAGCCTGATAGTCCTATTTTTAATTTTTTGAGGAACCTCTGTTGTGTTGCATAGTGGCTTCACCAATTTACAATCGGCACTTGTGCTCCCCAGCACTTGTTATCTCTTGTCTTTTTCATAAGAGCCATTCTGACATGTGAGAGAGATTTTATTTCACTATGGTTTTGACTTGCACTTCCCTGGTGATTGATTGGTGATGTTGAGCATGTTTCCATATATCTGTTGCCCATTCAAATCTATTCTTTGGGAAAATGTCTATTTAAGTCTTTTGCCCATGTTTAATTAGATTATTTGTTTTTTTTGCTATTGAGTTGTGTGAGTTCTTTACAGAATTTGGATATAAACCTCTTGTGGAAATATGGTTTGCATGTATTTTCTCCCATTTTATAGGCTGCCTCTTCATTATTGGTTATTTCTCTTGCTGTGCAAAAGCTTTTTAGTTTAATGTAACTCCACTTGTGAGAGGGTATAATCTTAGTGGCTCCCTCCAGCCCTGAGAAATTTCAAGAGAGGCCTCAATTCTAAGCCAAACTGCAAGGAGCAGGGGAAGTACATGGCTCTGCCCTAAGTGCAGGGGGCAGGGAGGAGGGGGAGCAGGGCAGAGGGGGACAGACGGGGAGAATCTGGGGACAGGGCCCAGCACCCACTGCCACCACTAGAGTATGCACGTGGGCCTGCCCTTGAGACCTGCTGTGGAGGAAACAGTGTTTTGTTTAGTCAGACATTCCAACTAATAGTAATAAAAGTTCGATTATCAAGTTTCAAGTCATCAGAATACAACAAATATGCTTAAAGTCAAGGTTATGTGAATTATAATTTTTTCTGGCTGACAGAGATGAAGGGAAGAAATGATCCAAACTTCACGGAGTCTTAGGAACAATACTTAGCAGGGAAAAGCACGAAGGCACACATTAGTAGCTTCCTGCGGAACGGATAATAGAAAACTGCTAGATCTTACTGGCAGGGGTGTTCAACCTGTGGCCTGAGGACAGCATGTGGCCCAGGATGGCTAGGAATGTGGCCCAACACAAAATCGTAAATTTACTTAAAACCTTTTTTTTGCTCATCAGTTTTCATTACTATTTGTGTATTTTATGTGTGGCCCAAGACAACTCTTCTTCCAGTGTGGTCCAGAGACGCCAAAAGGTTGGACACCCTAGTTACAGTAATGCTTAAATAGTTTATTTATTTACTTTTAATCTCACCCAAGAATATATTTATTGATTTAAAAGAGAAAGGAAGGGGTCGGGGAGAGAGAGAGAAACATTGATGTGAGACAGAAACATCAATCAGTTGCTTCCCATACACACCCCAACCAGGAATGAAACCTGCAACCTAGGCGTGTGCCCTGACTGGGAATTGCACCAGCAGTCTTTTGGTGTTTGTGACCAGATTCCAACCAAATGAGCCACCCAGTCAGGGCTCACTGAAACATTTGATTTCTTCCATCACTGTGCTGGCCTCTGTGTCTTTTTTTGTCTCTTGGTTGCTATCATTTCTCTGGCTCATCCAAGACTGGTCTTGGTACTTCTGGGATGCAGGCATTTAGATGGGGGCTCCTAGCAGAGTTCTTGGGTAGGTGGATGGGCCATGAGGGCCACTGAAAAATTCCCTGAGCTGGAAGATCCCTTCTGCTCCTCTCTCAACACTTGTGCTACATTCCCCAGGATCTTTTTATAAAGGTATTTTTCAGTTAACAGGTGACATAAAATATTGTGTTTGTTTCAGGTGTACAATATAGTGATTAGACATGCATATACCTTACGAAGTGATCATCTCATTTAGCCTAGTACCCATCTGACACCATACATAGTTACTACATTTTATTGACTATATTCCCTAGGCTGAACCTTACATTCCCGTGACTTTTTTTTTTAATGCTCACTTGAGGACATTTTTTTTCACTGTTTTTTAGACAGAGAAGGAAGAGAGAGAAATACTATGTGAGAGGGATGCAGTGATGGCTTGCATTCTTGTATGCACCCTGACAAGGATCAAGCCTGCAACCTGAGTATGTGCCCTGACCAGGAATTAAACCCGAGCCAGCAACCTTTCTAGTTCCAACCAACAGAACCCCACTGCCTAGGACCCTGTGACTATTTTTATAACTTGCAATTTATACTTCTTGACTTCTTTCACCTTGCTGCTGGTTCCCTTATCCTCAGGGCAGTGGTTTGGATGGTGTATCAACAAAAGAAATCCTACCTAACCCCCTTCTGTGTTCTCAGGAAACTCGCACATTCTTTTGCAACAGAAGACAGAAAGCAGAGCCCTTCACTGCTGCGGTCCCCACCTGGCTGGCTCTCTTTTCGCCCACTCTAGTGCACGTGAGTCACCAAGTCTACTGCAAGGACAGTTCTGAGGCAAAGCGAAAATCTCACTCACACTGATTTATGTCTACATGTGAACAATTACCTATTAATCATTAGCACTTGATACAGTATGCAAGACAGAGGAGGAATTGGATGAATATTGAGTGGGCAAAGGTTTAGCTGTTTGACCACGCTTTACCAAAACAATTAACTCTTTAATATAAAAGTATTTTCTCAAGTTAGAGCTAAAGTGCTCTCTTTCATATTGTACTCTTTTCATTGAGGAACAACATCTGTTCCCCAACCCCTTTAAATGGCATATTATATACACCAAGACTGCAATTAAGGAACCCACAGCCTTCTCCTCTTTTTGGACCAATATCATTTCCATGATTCCTTCCTCTTAAGTCTGGGTTTCCAACTCTTTAATCATCTCTGCTCTCTTCTGGATCCAAATGTCCCACTTACTTTTAAAATGTGGAGACCCAAATGGAAATCTATCATAACAATGCTGTAAAAGTTTGGCAAATTTCAGGGGAAACCAACATCTGCTTGGTCCTTGCTCATTATCTTGCTGCCTTTTCATTAAGGAGTTCTCAGGAAAAGCTATAAAATTTATTTTTTAATTAATTCAACAATTTTCCTTCTACCGTAAGTCTTCTTGTTTGTATGCACACAATTTCTGTGTCAATATGGATTAACAAATGGAGAGCTTTGGACCTCACAAACATACCCCTTTACACAATACTTTAAAATATCCTGCACATGCTTTTAGAATCTTAATGCACAATGCTAGTCTTTTTAATGCTAGTCTTAAAAAAATAATCGTTTTGTGTATTAACACTGACATTGTTTTTGCATAGATTACTTTTCAGCATGAAAACATTTTTATTGTCTGTATTTTACCATTTTCTATGCTTTTTATATAGACCTGGTGACTAAGAATTAAAATAATAACTAGTGTTACATAGCATTTAATATATGCCAGGCAAGTATTTCAGATGTATTAACATATTAACATGTTTAATCTTCATAACAACCCAATGAGCCAGGTACTATTGCCACTCCCATTTTTCAGATGAAGAAACTGAGAGAGAGTCTAAAGACTTGACCAAGATAGCAAAGCAAATGAGGTTAGGAGCTGGGATTTGAATAGAAGCTTAGCCCTAGAGTCTATGTTTTTATCATATCATACTATTACATGTTTAGAAACATAAAAAGGTGTACAAACTCTTTTGTAGAGGGTTTCGTCTTATTAGTGGTCATTAACATACACAAGCAGAGGTTTTCTTTGTGTTTAAAGCTGATTTTTGTACTGTAGTTATGCTTGAGTACCGACGATGATTTGACTGAAGAAATGACTCATGGTAGTTTCTTGGTTGGTTTCACTTTTTGGTTTGAAAATGCAAACGCTGAAGTTGCCAAATACAGGTGAATCTAATTTCCTTTTGGTCAAATATTGAGCTTATCTCAGCATCATTAATTGCATGTAACTTCCAGGAGTCCCAGGAATGTGCCCCCCCAAACTGTAATGTATGCCTTTGATTCCTCACAAAACAGAAGAATGCTTGATCTTCTTGCCCTGAGCACAATTCATTTCAGAGTCAATTTCCCAGAATAGATGGTGCTATTGTTACCTCCCCAGTTTCCCTATGGGGCTTTTGGAAACCGTCCTGCCCTTTCAGAACTCTCAGGACCTTTCCAAGAGAACTGTCTGAACTATTAAATTGGTGGTGATGTCTTGAGACCCCAGCAAACTTGTCCCCGCTACAGCTGTTTGGCTTGTTCTTCATACGTTTCATTTAAACTTTGGGGAAAATAATTTCCTTGCAGAAGAAAAAGAATTGTATTCCAATTTATTTTGATTGGACTGTTAAATAAACGAACATAGTATTCGAAACCTAATCCCACAAGTAGGCCTTACACCTACGTCAGAGAGAAGTTTACCTGAGAAAACCCATGGGCCCGTCTCCAAATGCACCTTTATCCTTGCCCTCTGTGCACAGGACAGGAAACAATAGTTACAATCACATGTAGACATTTTAAGGAAATTTTAGAAAATGCTCTGTAACCACATCCTAACATTATAAAATGTTTTATAACATTAATTTCTCTTTAAAATATGATATATATGTAGTTTTATGGTAGGAACTGCATATATTAGGAAATACTTAAGCAACATATATATTTCTGAGTGTGCCATAATTTTCAAAGGACTCACAGCAAAATGTCAGCAATGTTTATCTCTCAGGAAGTAGAATGGGGACTGCGGGGCACACAGATGAAGACTTTGACTTTTAATTTTATTCATTTTCCCCAATGTCTGGGTTTCTTTTTCTTTTTAAATGTTGTGCATGTATTTTGTTACAAACAGTTATCTGAGCAGTGAGATTATAGGCCATGTTATTTACATACATTATTCTGTCTCAAACAGAAATATTATTTAAAAGTGCAAAGTGCTTCTTTGACTGTCTCATGAAAGTTTCACCAGTTGATGTATTTAGGTAGTTAGTTTGTCTGGGAAAGGGAAAGGTGCCTGTCTTTATCGTTTTAGAATTTTAGATCTGAATAAGGAACTGAATTAAATCAAATTAAAGGGTTTGTTCCAGTTCACACGGCTAGTGAGTGGCAAAACTAGACTTAGAATCCAGGTCCCCTGACTCTAGCCAGTACTTTTCCTGTGAGACCTTCCCTAAGTATCAATTACTTACATTTTCAAAACAGCATTAGAATTTGCAACTGTAAAAATTTACATGTATATTCCATTCATCTAATTGTACCATAAACCCAAGCATTAAAAGAGGCATCAATACATGCAAAGGATAAGTAAGATTTACAGGTCAAGTGAATGGCAACCATGAGAAGTAAAGTGTAAGTGCTGGAATACATACCCAGTTTAACAATGAAATGCTTCTTCCTTGGGGTAAAACCATTGAGGGATAAAGGATTCTAGGTGAAAGTTATGATTTCATGTAATGATTTATATGCTGCTATTGTTCTGTTGTGATTGCAACAGGACCTAATTAGACCTCATGAAAACTCTATATTTCTAAATGTTTTCCTATTTTAATAAAAGTTTGGTAGAGTGGAGCCACATACATTCATTCCTATAAAAGCCTTATATACTGTGTGTTTCACTCAAGGATCTTTGCAGTCGTGAAAAGGTAAAAAACACCTAGGTAACTTTAAGCCAGAAGGCAGTAAAAAGCATGGAACATTATCAGCCTTAACACTGACACCTAATGCAAAGGTTGATCTATTTAACAACACAACTTAGTAAAAGAGAATGTGAAATCACTGCTTTCTCCTAATGGAACCAGAGTCTTACTATTTCCTTTCCTATTTATAAAAAAGCTTAGCTCAGCTCCTGGAATCAGTGAAGAGAGATGTTGGATGCTTGGCATCCCCTTTCTCTTGGCGCAGCTCATGGAAACATACGTGCTCTGCTCCTTGGACTGCTGACCTCTAGCTACCAAGTGGGGAAGCGCTGTCACGGAGAGAGAGTGTCTTCCCATGCAGACGTCCACACGGTGGATTCAGCCACATCCACACAGCAATGGAGCAGCGAGGCAGCGCTCAGTGGGTATTTGCTGAATAAATTATCAATAGCTGTTACAACATTTCTCTCTCCACTCTAAACACACAGGTTAAGTTTAAAAAATCTTGAGAAAATTCACTTCAATGTTTTCTCACTCTACCACCTTGAACTGGGAATACATAAAGAAAAATAGATTCTGTATAATTTCAGACCAAATTATTGAAGAAAAAATAATATAAAAGAGAAATTGCCACCTATTTGTAGCTGCCTGAAAGTGGAATTTCATGATAAAATAAATTCTTATTATTTCACCATTACATTCTTCTTGGAAGAGATTATCATAGCTAGTAACCCTTCTTTGCCTTTTTTTCATTTAATATGCTCTAATAAGATGATCAATTATATAATTTTTATTTTTATTTTTTATATGTGAACACTGAGGCTTTGAAAAATTAAGTACCTGGCCACACAAAGAAGTCACTGGGTCGAGGGTGGAGCTGGCATAATGGGTTGGAAGAAGAACCTGGATAGATTCATAGGTGCTGAATCAGTGACCTGAGAAGTTACTGGCAGCGAGCAAGGAGACAGATAGAATGAAGGCTGACTTACCAGGAAGTGGAATTAGCACAAAAGGTCAATGTCCTCTCACAGATAATGGGAAACTCACAAGTCACATCCCTGACACAATAAAAACAAGGCCTAGATGCTTTGGTAAAAACATAACATGCCCAGGGTACAACTTTTCTAGAAAACCCATGGAGTAAGATTTAAGTATGGGAAAAAACATTTTTAAAACTGGGTATCTCTTGGGATAGAATTTCCAGGCAAGTTAAAGATTAATTCTCTATTCTTTGTCAATCTGGGCACCACTACAAATAAAATGAAAAATATTCTAGGAATTTTCATTTCAAAACAAAGGAAAATGAGAGAAAACTGTGTGAAAATGATAATGTAAAATTCATTGTGGCCGCAAAATATCATCACTGTCATTTAAACTGAGAAACAGCTATTCCAGTATTGCTACCAGAGGCTCCATTTATTACAACTCAATGTTGGGATGCTGGAGACGGCTGAGGAGGAGAGGAGCTACATATAAAAATCTTTAGGAGGACTTGGGGAAACCATTAAAATTCATTGGTTCAAGCAGTTCATTAAAACATTTTCCAGCCCACTTACTGACGCTGTGGAAAAATTTGGGAACTCACATTTCTCACTCTTGGATGTGGAATGTTTAAATTACAAGAAGATGGAAGGGAAGGAAATGGCCAAAGGAAGGAAAACCATGACTGAGAGGTGGCTAATTGGAACAGAGTGGGGGTTTTCAATCTAAGAAAATGCAAAGAACATCAGGCCAAAGGATGAGAATGATATAAAACTGCAGTTCATTTATGTTCCAAAAGAGGAAGAAAAGAGAATTTTCTTAAATAAAGTTTATAAACATAAAAAAGAAACAGTCACTATCTGGACTGTATTTCATTTATTTATTCATTATTGCAATAAACACTTAGTGAGTAGGCTCTTTACATAATACGTGTGCCTACAAGAAGACATGAAAAAGTCACCTGACCATTCTGAACCTGTGGATATCAGATGGAGTGGGAGCT